CGCAGCAACCAGTCGGCGGTGTTTCAGGCTGGGGAGCCAGGCGCCTGGGACAATAACCGTCAGTGCCTTGTGCTATGTTCTGTCCTGCCTGGATGTGCATGAACCATCCACACCAGGCAGCAGTATTCCATCGTTGGCCGCACGAAGCCTTTAAAAGGTGGCAGTTCCCCCTTTCCGTATACTACACTCTTTGGACCAGAAGTCATGAACAGCTAGTAATATCCAAACCACAACTTGGCAGTGATGTTGAGGGTGTTCATCCCGAGGTTCAGAATCATTTTTCACACATCTCACATATCTTGAAGTGCCGAACTTGCTCTCAGCCAAAATGCGTTCATATCGCACGTACAGGGAAACGATTGAGCCAAGAGAGATCAGAGGCTAATGGTGCCCAGCAGTATAAATTCGTTCAGAACTCATGCAGACTGACGGGCGTCACTGCGCCCTACTAGATGGGGATTTGTATGCAAAATGTCACTAAAAGCGCCATTTCGTTCTTATAAAAGCACGGATGACCGCCATTGGCCCATATGTTGTAGTCTTTTGGACGCTGAGTCGACTGGTTTTGGTCCGAAAAGGCTGCGATGCAGCGTTCCTCCTTTATTCCCAATCGAACATGGTTGAACAAGCGGTCACGTGCTCCTGGGTGCCCAAATCACCTGGTCACCACGCCAGCAGGCGACATCTTTCACACCAAGGTTCAACTCGAGCTCAACTCGAGTGACAGGACTGCACCCAAAAAAGGTCAAACAGGCTAGTAAGTTGTACCCTGCAGGCACGGTGACCAGGTGACTCGCGTACGCAGGAGCACGTGACCGCTTGTTCAACCATGTTCGATTGGGAATAAAGGAGGAACGCTGCATCGCAGCCTTTTCGGACCAAAACCAATCGACTCAGCGTCCAAAAGACTACAACATATGGGCCAATCGCGGTCATCCATGCTTTTATAAGAACGAAATGGCGCTTTTAGTGCATACAAATCCCCATCTAGTAGGGCGCAGTCACCCAGTTTCGGTGGAAGTGCGCGAGTTCGATTGGGATTCAAGTAGGAAGGGAGCGTCTCAGCTTCCTCGGACCACGACCATTCGATTCAGCACCCCGAAGACTACAACTGGTGAAATTTTAATTTTTGCCTTAACTTCCCCTTTAAGGTGGCAGACTACCCAAAAATTCGCTGAAAAATCGAATTTGTAAATTTGTAAAAAATTTGTAAAATGAGTGCTACGTTAGTTGAAAGAGCATGAATAGCTGCAAATTCTCTGAAAATTGTGTCCCGATCTGACCGGCCGTTCAAGAGTTATGGCCGAAAATGTGCCCTTAACGCCTTGCAAGGAAAGATTTTTTTGTTGCACGCTGTCATTTGTTGGCAGCACTGTATTTGAATGTGAGCAGACCGTGCGCAACTTGTCGTATCATGGAAACACGTGAAAGTGTGCAGAATTTTGCTCCAAAAAATCCAAAAGTCCAAAAAATCAGGTTTTTGAGCCACGTATTGGGCTGCACGGCGGCGGGCGAAGCCCGCCGCCGTGCAGCAGGACTTTGCCAGCACCCTCGTGACGTTGCAGATATGTGGCTTGATTATCATGTAGTTGACGTTGATTTTATTTAGTGACTTTGGCAAGTTTGAGTCGTGGCAAGAAGTCAGGTAGGATTCAGTACTAGGCAGTAGTGAAACGTGAGTGGTAGTCTTTGCCGGTTTCTGAGGGTATCCTGGATTTGGTGTGCAGCGCTGTGGAAATGGCTTGCTAGCTGTGGAGGTCCCGGCACTCAGGGATGTTGTATCAAAGGTACGACCTCGTAGCACGTGCTAAACCTAAAAAAATTCAAACATTGACTTGGGTCTGTGGGAGTGTGTGAGAGAACGTCCACTCGTTCCGTTGTGACAGATTCCAGGGCCTCGTTGAGGGGCCCTACCCCATCACCCATGGCTGCTTCTGGACTTGTTCTAGGTTTGAGTCCCGCGCACGAACAGAATGAGCACGAAAATGTGAAAAAATTGTAAATGCATTTGTTTGGCTCCTGGGTGGCTCGCACACCGTGGCACTATGCCGGAAAATTGAGTTTTTCCGGCCTGGAAAGCCTGTCAGTGAGGCGCAAGAACTTGTAAATCATGTCCTGAGGGCCAGCATAGTAGCAGGAGTGTGTGGTCAAAATTTCACTCAAATCCATTGAGAAACACCAAAGTTACGGTCAATTGAATGCCATATGAAATTTATGGGTAGGCTGCCCCCTTAAACCTGGCCGAACCCGCACTATCGCCCTGCATGCATCCCCCGATACACTTCGCATACATGTACATACTAATTCTTCCAAGCTGCTTCACGTTATGATCTTGTATTTGAAAGCCCTATTTAGACCTTGACAGATTATGCTAGCATAATTTTTCGCATAATTCCTACCAAAATCGAATAATCACATAATTCGAGGCAAATTGCATACGAATCGCATAAATTGGAATAATCCGCCTTTTCGCATCAAATTCCATACAGTTGTACATGTACATGTTCTACAAGTACAAGTAGATGCACCAGGAAGTCGAAAGTTTACGACTCCCTTGATAACATGTCCAGTCCACTACAATCAGTGACGGTCGTAGCTAGGTCGGACGGTGGGTTGACCCAGTTGAACTTTTGCTACTACAGTACAACGCCCTCTAGAAAAATATTCCCCTGTTATTTTGCACAGAACCATTATACATTAGCAGCATATGTGAGCATAATGCGGCATAATATGATAACCTTGAGCATAAAAATGGCATAATTCTGCAATTTTTTCAGCAATGCGAAAAGCATAATTTCACCAAAATATTAGCATAATCTGTTAAGGCCTAGCCCTATTTGAATATGCATTGTGGCCAGCCGTCTTTGATTGTACGGTACGGTACGGGAGAGGTACGGGACAGGTACCTGTCCCTCCAGAAACTTGCGGAGACATTTCGGAAATATCGCGGAAAAAGTTGCGAGGTAAAATGCCACAAATTGCGGGGAATATTGCGGATTTTGTCAAATATTTCGGGATTATTGTGGTAAAATTGCGGAAAATGCGGTCGATTTTGGTACTTGAACTGTAGTGTGCTGCAAATTATGTACGAGTCGTACAGCATAAATTATGCACGTGTGCTGCGCTGTACTGCAACTGTGTTCAACTGCCTGACAGGAGCTTGCAAGACAGCTTTCCTCCATCCGTGGACAACACTCTACGCCAGCCCGACTTGTCAGCCGCTGATTTGCCCAGAAACTTCTCCATTCTGGTGTCTATCTCACAAGTAAACTACTGACGAGCTTGAAGAATTAAACAACACAAAACAGTCGAAGGAAGACTCGAATATCGCGGGTGCTTTTCGAAATATTGCGGTGCTATTCAAGTATCAAGGACAGTTTTCTACAATATCGCGGATGATTTTTCAAATATCGCGGATATCGCGGACTTTTGTTCAAATCGCGGAAAACAACGCGGCCGCGGAATCGCAAGTTCCTGGAGGGACAGAGGTACGGTCGAGGGTAATACAACACCATCTACCGCCTTGACGACGGCAAAAAAAGAATAGGGATGTTATAAATTTTTCAATTTTCCTATTTTTTTCAGGCATTGCCTGGGATTCGAACCCGCACTATCGCCCTACATGCATTCCCCCATACACTTCGCATTCATACTCATTCTTCCAAGTTGCTTCACGTTAGGATCTTGCGTTTGAAAGCCTTATTTGAATAGTGCGGCCAGCTGTGTTTGATGGTACGGTACGGTACGGTACGGTACGGGACAGATACGGGATAGCGCCAGGCGTGACACAAACACACAAACAAAGAAACACCAAATTAAAGCTGTGCGGACCCTGGCTAGCGCCAGACGTTACCATGGTTACTGAAGTAACGTCTTCTGCATAGCTACGGGAATAACTAGCATTACCCGCCCATGCCTATTTGTTACCATGGTTACTCCCTTCATTGGGTGATGTACATGTACTTTGGTTTAGCGCTCTGACGCTGGCCAGTTTAGGCTTTTGCACTTGGCTACAATTTGCATAGGCCATACTTGAGTCCTGGTGTCGGCTTTTGTCCCTTGTGCTACACTTCAGAGCGGACTCTAGATCTAGAGGCGTCAGTAGTAGACTGGTACCGATTCCGAATCCCAACGTCAAAATAATCCCCATAACAACATCAACGTCCTTATCATTTGTACAATACCTGTTGCTGCAAATGCTTTATTATTGTTTTGATGTTGGAGTTTGGATTGAGTTTCTTTCCTTTCTTCCTCTTCCTTCCCCTCTTTCTTGTCCCTTTGGTCTTTAGCTTTTTTTATTTTTTCACTTTCTTTTTTGCTGTCCCACCCATGGAAATATTTCCCGGTGGGTCTGGCTTATCGCCTTCGAAAGAAGTGAATAATAAAAAATAAATTTCACGGTTCGCGTGAGACTCGGCTGCAAGCCGAGTTTTCCGCATCCGCCGTGGGAACGCCACCACCCTCTAGGATCAAAGGCGCAGATGCAGCGCCTAAACGGTGGGAGGTGAGTAGATCAGACCCACCACCAAAGACCGAAGTCCCATTAGCTGCATCCATGTTACCCTCGTGCCAGGCCACGAGTTCCCAATTAACTGTGGGTCGCAGCACGGCTGGAAAAATTCCTTCCGCTTCCAAAGCAGTGAATAAAGGAGACATAATAATCGGCACGTATGAGAACGACCAAACTACCATTCGCTATACTACTGGTCCGGCACTTGTGATGCACTTCGTCCTTAGAAGTACTCGAGCAAGGTAGCACTTAACGGTTCGGCAATACAGTCAGACCTCGCCTAACTGCACACATCCGTTCTCCACAAAAATATCCGGATAGGCGAGGGAAGGGGATACTAGTAATCAAACACCCATACTGCATGTATGCATGAAATATGCTGTAAATCAGTAACCAACGATTTTCTCCCGGATGGCGAGGGGCCCAATAACATGTACGTCTAATGTCGCAGTTACCCACAAATACGATGCAAGAACACAGAACTAACGAATTGATTCACATTGATTTTGGTATTTCAAACTATCTTCAGAGCAAGGCAGCCGGAGTACAAGTAATAAACAGAGCCATGAAACTGAACCAGAGTCTGTACTACGGTAGTAAACAGAATGTGCAAATGCAGCAAAATGTACTTTTTGTGCCAAGAGCTTTTGAAACGACAGCGACTTGACTGACAAACAGCCTCACAAGCTACTGAGCAGAAGATAGTCTCAGAAAGATAGAGGGGAATAGAGATGTGAAAGAAATGGGCAAGAGAGCATGCTCGATCAGCCAAGCGGCTAACAATTCTAACCGAGCGCATGTGTAATAACGTGTGCGCATCGAGAATATAACTGTCTTGTCAGCTCTGTCAAGCCAAGTAGGAGATATGGGTGATATATCAAAAAAAAAATCGGAATCAAGACTATATTCTGACAGTCAAACTAGTTGGAGAGAGGTTGTCACTCGTCGCTGACAAAATCAAAAATCATCACGTGTTATCTAGGTAATTTTCTGTTCAATGGTTTCTTCAAAGGAGTCAAATGGCAATTGGTTGGTTCAACAAACACAAACAAGAAAACAAATGGGTTATACTGCCAGGCTCAGGAATACTTCGGGTTCACGAGGTCGGGCAAGGAAGCCTGCTCAGTGCTCAAAAAAAAATCTTCATATGGGGACGATTGCTAATAAAACTTGCCGAAAACAATGTTTGCTTACTAACTGCAACTGCTGCACCGGAATACTTCTTACTGCTCAGTCCGGTCACCATGCAGTACACCTACAGAGCAACTTGCTCCAGAACAGTGGGCACGAACGGATCAGCCAGTGGGTTCAGGTCCGAAAGTGAGTCATTCTAAAGCAGGAAGAACAACGGAAAAAAGAGAAAGATTCGAATAATCTGTTAAAAAAGATCCTATTTTTTTAGCATAATGAATGCAGTTGGTAAGACCGTCTTGAGTAGCAACACGGAGTGCAGCCACATTCACATCATACAGTACAGCGTCAAGACATACAGTATGCACATACAGGCAACTATTGTTCTGGATTTTGTTGAAAATACACGTCACACAACTAGGCCTAGGGATGGAGAATCGTTGAAGAGCCAATCTTTTCCAACGGCACACAATACCGGCATCCTGACCCAGGGCTAGTGCCATACCGTCTCCCCTGCACTCTGTTCCTACAGTCTTCACACTGAGTGCTACAGCCACTGATGTCTACAGGTAGGCCACTGCACTCACTCAGATATACTAGTACATGTACAGTGGAAGATAAACAGCACAGCTCCACAAACCATGAAATGGTGAACAGTGAACTTTGGGCCACAGTGCTAGGCCAACCCTGGACTATAGACTACATGTACATGTAGTGCATTGGATGGTGTGCCAAGTGGCTTCTTCAGCCCTTATCAACACATAATAATTTAATAATTCTCATGGCACGTGTTACTGTTAGAAGTGACCATGATTGTATTGTTGAGCAATCCCAGACCATGGCACTGCCACAGTGCGTATGGATGGTGTCCTAACACTACAGTCATGCAGCACTGGCACTGATGAAATACCTAGGACATGAAGCTTTCAAGTCCTGCACAAGTAGCAGTACAGTCAGGCCACCTCACTGGCAGCCATGTGCATGCAGGGGGTTACTTGGCATGGACCAGACCTGTCTAATGAGCAGCAAATACCTGAGTAGTGAGCACCCTTCACAGATATATGGGGGATGTCCCACTAAGTACTGCGGTGTACTGTATACATAGCCATTGCTGCAAATCTGAAAGGCCAGTTCATACTGCTGCTGTGACTGTGAGTGCTGTCACAATGAATGCCAATGGTGTAAACAATTCTTATAAACTAGTCAGCACTCCTTCATAATGATGCCATGCTTTAGAACCAATTGACAGGTCCCTGACTGACTCCCTGTCCCTGACTTGCCTCTCTGAGTCAGTCTCAAAGAGACTCTCTCTATAAGAAAACTTGAAAAGACCCTGACAAGTAATGCTCAGTAGCGCATTCCGTCATTCGTGGTGGATTCTTCGCTCCAATCTAGGCTAGCCAGTACTGGCTGTAGACTGTGTAGAGGCCAAGTCTATGACAAGACTCAAGAGGCATGCTGCACAGATACAATCATAGTATACAGTAGCAATGGGGGCCCTGGCAATAATATACCAATGCCATGATATACCAGCTATTTTGTCAGTATCCCATCCAGCCTGGACTACTGTAGTCTGGAGTCTGTTACTTCTGAATTATCTGATGAATATACGCAGAAGTGCAGAAGCTTTTGGCTGGCTGACACTGTGACAGGCAGGTGACAGCAATTATACACCTCATGAGCTTAGCCTGGGCAGCATGCCAGAAAAATGTTGAAGTCTACAGCTAGCTGTAAACATCGGATCAACCACAGGCTGGCACAGGAGCCCAGGTAGACAAGAGATAAGGAGCACGTTGTCAGTACCGGTGCAGTCAAAGAATACCCAAGATGACGTTCTCCAGAGTCGACTCCGACGCCATGGCGCGGACCTGTTCGTTGTCTACGTTTGCACGGCACTCAACAAACAGCTCCTGGATAGGAACCCATCGTATAGTAGCTGTCAAAGTAGTTTACTGTTTACGAGTAACATCCCTTGTGCGTTGAAATCATCATTCGTACATGCGACTTGTCATACCTCGTTGCTCCAGCACCTCAGTCACAGTGGTTCGTCAAGACTCGAGGGTTTCGGGAACACTGTGATAACGTTTCTACTGGCGATGTGCAGGAGTAGCCCGGTAAGCCCCATTGATGTAATGTATGTACTAGCAGTTGTACTAAATCTCCAGTTCTCTGCAAGGATGCTCTCGGGAGTAGAAAAGGCGAAGTTTTGACCAGATTGAATGAGGAGGTTGTGTTGGCGACGCCGCCGCAGTAAATATCACTGGGAACCTGAAGGGCCTGTAATCATAGACCATCGCGCGCTGCAAACCTAGGCCTAGCGCCCGCAGTCAGTGCATGCAGATTATTGTTTTATACAAGGCGATAGACACGACAAGGACGTACATGTACGTTCGTAGTTCGTTCGGCACTCCAACCAAAATACAAAATACAGCGTAGTCGCCTTGATCTACCGCGATCGGCGATCGCACACTGTAGGTCTACAAGACTACATGCTGCACGACGCGTAACACAATGTCACCCACGCGGCCACGGGCCACAGTCACATCACTCATCAGTACCACGCACAACACGACAAGAAAGGGAAATACCGAGAACACCCACAAACGTTTGGTTGGTCAGTACAAAGGGCCACTCACCGACGATGACAGTTCGTCCTCCCGCATTTGGTCAAAGTAGGCCTCCTCCTCGTCCATCATGCTGTGCCATTCCAGGGAAATCGTGTCTTCTTCTTGCAACTGCCTCTCCACCTCGCGGTCGAAATCCTCAAGATGCTCCATCCACGCGAACTCGGAGAACTCTAGTTGTTGTTCCATGGCGTTCTTTCTCGATATTTTCTTCGACTGTCGGCCGTTGGCGTATGTGGCTCTATTCAAAAAGGTGGAAGTAAGTAAGTTGTTGCAACCACTCGAGACGATAAGCCGCCCTCAGCTGACCAGTGACGGCGACGGGATCAGCTGCTTGTCGGGCTGTGCGAAAGTGGTCGAATCGAGTGCAACACTTGAGCTGGCGCGAGCAGAACCGAAGCCGTAGAAGTGAGACTGAGGGGGCTACAGCGTGTAGCGGCAGTGTCCTCGGCCTGGAAAGTAACGTGTAGACCTACCACTAGGTAGAGCTGCCAATAACTGAATAAGTCCAGATAGACTGACTGCAGCACTTATGCAGATCTACAATCAGTCAGTAGCTACCAGATAAGGCAGTGTAGATCAGCGCATGCAGTCACGAGTGCGCTCAACAAGAAAACGTCTCAACAACCCAGAATGAATCTGGCCGTTACAAAGTAGAGAGGAAGAAAAGCTTTCTGTTTGCCAGATTTCTAGGCTCGTCGAGGTTTTTATCCTGTTGTCCGGGAGTCGCTACAACTAACTTCTCGATCTCTTCAGTGCGCCACCTGACAGCTAGCTAGTATGAGCTAATCATCGCCGTCCGCACACTCAGCGGCGTCAGCGGACTCATCATCGGTGCCATGAATGATGAGGAGATCTACTACTACTACTAGAGCTAGCCTTGGGCTGTGCCTGGGCTGGGAAGCAGCCGGCCGAGGAGTGCAGAGTTCGACGTGTGATGTGTGGTGATTTCGTTGGCGTTAGTGCAAGGCACGCTTGTCTGTCTACCCACGCTGTCAACGGACTGCTGTCGTAGCGTCAAGTGTGCGGCAGAGTGCATTCTGCAGCGCTTTTTCGACTGGCCCAATCTGTCATGCACGCTGCCATGCAGTGCCATTTATGACTCATGTCTTTGTCAGTCATCTGTCGGCGGAGTTCAGTGTGCCAAAAAAACCCTTACCAAAACGAAGAGGCAAGTACAATGTCATTGTAATAGTGACACTGTACTAGGACTTGCCACATCCAGGACCCACTCACTACGACCCTAGTTTGTTGTAGCCTTCCATCGTCCTTCATGTGCACAAATTTAATTCAGTCATGTAGCATGGGTTTGTAGCACGCCAGTCGCAATGATTTGCTACACGTGAACACGTACCACAGTCCATGTAGGCTAGCTACATGTGTTGTAGAAACAAAGAAGTCGCAACGAGTTCATAATTTACCATAGTCCATGGTTTACTGCATAGCAGAACACGTCTACGTAGGCGGGAATGATTATGTGTGGGGTATCCCGGCCAGGTACTACAGACAGTCATGTACAATTTACAAAATTAATGATTATGTAGTAGAAGACGCACTACAGTCCATTTCAAAACTATAAACGCGTACCTAGGCAAAAACCGTTATGCCAGCATCTATACCACATAAAATCTGTGATCACTTTGTGCATAATTTTTTCCAAATTGGGCATCTGTTAGCCAATCGTTTAGAAACTATTATGAGAGTAATTGTGGAGCGGGCCTGAGCAATATTCCGAAAACTTTTCTCAAAAAAAAAAAAAAAAAAAAAATTTCACGGTTCGCGTGAGACTCGGCCAAAGGCCCAGTTTTCCGCATCCGCAGGAACGCCACCACCCTCTTGGATCAAGGCGCAGATGCAGCTCCTAAGCGGTGGGAGGTGAGTAGATCAGACCCACCACAAAGTGGTCAAAGACCGAAATCCCATTCACTGCATCCATGTTTCCCTCGTGCCAGGCCACGAGTTCCCAATTAACTGTGGGTCGCAGCACGGCTGGAAAAAATCCTTCCGCTTCCAAGCAGGACTTGAACCTGGTACCCTCTGTTTCTCAATCATGGTCTTAGACCATCCCACTATGCCTGCCTTTTTTCTCAAAAAGTTCCAGCCAAATTTGAAATACAGTGAAGCTTGGTTATAACGACATTGGTTATAACGACAGATCAGCTACAACGACAAAAAATCCATGGCAGCAGCAATTTTGTATTGATTTGTGTACAAAAAAGATCGGTTGCAACGACAACTCGAATAACGACAAATCGAGAATAACGACCAAATTGTCATGCACCGTAGTGTGAAAATGGGTCAAAATAATGACATTCTCACGACTGCGACGTACGATCGATTCTGGCTTTCACAGCTGCCGCCAGCCGGGTGCACAAGATCGGACAGACTCAGTGCAGTCTACAGTCCATTCCACATAAGTGTGCACTCTTTTCCAGTCGAAGGGCCAATATAAGTGTGCACTCTTTTCCATCCAGTCAAAGGGCCATTGTGTATGCCCCATGGATTCTACATGTAGGCCAGCGCCAGCCTGACATGGGAATATCCCACGTGGATGCGTTGAGATGATCAATAAGGTTCATGACTTCTTCAAAGACAAAGCAGCGGCGCAAGAAAATGCACGGAAATCAGGCAGCAAAGCGAGCTAAAAAAATCAATTTTTCATTTTCTCTCTCAAATTTGGACAGATTTTGATCCGGTTTCTTTTAAAAGGAGCAGCAAGCAAGCGTGCATTCACTCAGAAAAAATTGCCTTGTATTTGTACATAGTCGTATGATGGGAGCATGTAATAACAGTGCACACTTATAGGGAATGGACTGTAGTGTACATCGACTGTACACTGCACTGCACTGCACACTCGTGCACGCCCGGAGACTTCGAAGGAGTGTCAACATGTCGTACTGACGGTAAAATACGTGTACTGTGTAGATACAGGTGTAGTGCGCACTTACCCTCCGTACCTTCCGTATCTTCTGCGACGGATTTTCGCAACATTCGCCATGCTTCTTTCTCCGAGAAATCACTTTCTCAGTTGTCGTTGGACCAAAGACTTGGAAGTTCGAGATGTCTCGCCCTGTCTCTGTTGGAAAGCGAAAGCGCTTCTCCTACGCGGAAAAGTACGCCATTCTGCAGGAGCTGGACAAAGGTGCAAAGCGGACATTCGTTCAAGAAAAGTATGGAGTCGCGCACGGTACTCTTGCTGGCTTCATCAAGAACCGAGAGGAGATTGTGGCCAAAGCGAAGAAAGCGACGTCAATGGATGCCAAGAGCTCTAGGCAGTCGAGTTTTCCTGAGTTGGGCGAAGCGCTCCTTGTGTTCAGTTGAAAAAAGCACCATTGTGCAGAAAATTAATTTTGCCGCATTTTGGTGTGCATAATATTGTGTTGGAAATCCCAAGATCGGATATAATGACAGATCGCAAATAAGGACTTTTTTGGCGTTCCATCTCGGGTGTCGTTATAACCAAGCTTCACTGTATTTCAAAAACACTGCGCGTCTATAGATTTGAAATGAAATTTTGGTTATTGTACATGACTTGTACATGTAAGTCGTTTATACGACTCCCTGGCGCCCAGACTCATTATTCCCGTAGCTATGCAAAAGACGTTGCTTCAGTAACGTCTGGCGCTAGCCAGGGTCCACACAGTTGGGGCCAAAGAGAAAGTTTATTCCCGTAGCTATGCAGAAGACGTTACTTCAGTAACGTCTGGCGCTAGCCAGGGTCCACACAGGTTTAAAGGGGAAGTTAAGGCAAAAATTAAAATTTCACCAGTTGTAGTCTTCGGGGTGCTGAGTTGAATGGTCTTGGTCCGAGAAAGCTGAGACGCTCCCTTCCTACTTGAATCCCAATCGAACTCGCGCACTTCCACCGAAACTGGGTGACTGCGCCCTACTAGATGGGGATTTGTATGCAAAATGTCACTAAAAGCGCCATTTCGTTCTTATAAAAGCACGGATGACCGCGATTGGCCCATTATGTTGTACTCTTTTGGACGCTGAGTCGACTGGTTTTGGTCCGAAAAGGCTGCGATGCAGCGTTCCTCCTTTATTCCCAATCGAACATGGTTGAAGCGGTCACGTGCTCCTGGGTGCCCAAATCACCTGGTCACCACGCCAGCAGGCGACAACTTTCATACCAAGGTTTAACTCGAGTGACAGGACTGCACCCAAAAAAGGTCAAACAGGCTAGTAGGTTGTACCCTGCAGGCACGGTGACCAGGTGACTGGCGTACGCAGGAGCACGTGACCGCTTGTTCAACCATGTTCGATTGGGAATAAAGGAGGAACGCTGCATCGCAGCCTTTTCGGACCAAAACCAATCGACTCAGCGTCCAAAAGACTACAACACCTGTCCCGTACCTATCCCCTACCGTACCGTGCCATCAAAGACGGCTGGCCACAATGCATATTCAAATAGGGCTTTCAAATAGGGCTTTCAAATGCAAGATCACAATGTGAAACAACTTGGAAGAATTAGTATGTATGCGAAGTGTATCGGTGGATGCATGCAGGGCGCGCGATAGTGCGGGTTCGAATCCCAGGTTATGTCTTTAAAAAAAGGATTTTTTTAAAGAATTTATAACATCCCTATGCTTTTTTTTGTCTAGGTCATCAAGGCAAAAAAGCATAGCGTAGGGCCCTGAGCTTCCAAGCTCTCTCGTTTCTTTCGATGCGAAAGTGTATAAAGCGGCCACTTTACGACTAATGATTTACATACACAAGCTCGGGGAGCAAAAGTCTCTCTGTCCCATAAGCTGCCACATACCAACAGTTACTACAACACATTGTAAATACAAAACCATGCACTTCACTCGAGCTGACTTGCACGCTTGGCCCTTTTCACGAACCCAGACAAAGGGATTGGTCGATTATACCAGTGTCTGCTCCAGAGCTGGGTGAGCCGGGTAATCCACCCGGTTGAGCGGCGCTTGGACCCGGTTGAAAATATAGTACCGGGTCACCTGTCACCCGGTTGGTACTTTACACTTTCGAATTTTGAAAGGACTGACTACATGGCTTGTATGTGTCAGATACTTCTTCTTTCGTAATTTCTAATTCCTGTCCTCTCTTTTCTAAATGCGGCTTATCCATTCGCCTTTATATCATTGGGCCTTAGTTCCCGTTTATTGTCCGAATTAAAAAAAACCCAACCAACCAGTTAACGCATGTGACTCGGCTGGTGAGACAGCGCCAGGCACATGTGTACCCGGCTCCGACCCGGTTGAAATGGTTGCGCCAGGTACACGCGTACCCGGCTGTCCTACAATCCTAGAGCAGACACTGTATACAACGCATGTACGAAGTCACTAGATTATAGGGCTGAAACGATTATACCGAATAATCGAGTACTCGTTTGATAACTCTAACGATCGAGCAATCGTTTAGATTACCGATAACGATTATTTAAAAAAAATTAAATTTCTTATACGCGCAGTGCATGCAGCGCAGATTATATACACAGTACTATACATGTCTTGGCAGTGTTATCGAACACTCCGCATCACTCTCAGCCATTGTTGGCTAGTTGTCTGTAACGCTGCCCATTAGTGGACAGTCATGCCAAATAGCATTTTTGTGCAAAATGTTGTACATATTTCCACTTTTGGCCATTCCACGTACATATTCAGTGCTGCCAAACCGTCCGATTTTTGAAGGCTCTTCCGAAAACCAGTCCGAAAAGGGAAACGACCGAAAAGCAGCCA